TTCTTTCTTTAGTTGAAAAACATTAATTTGGAAATCCTTGCAAAAATTAAATAATTGTCGGATTTTAATGGAACTTTCAGAATTTATTCAAAAATGATTGAAATTGTTCTAGAATTATTATTTTTTTTCTTTTAGAAAATCATGGTAAAAATATTTTTGTCTGTTACCACCCACTTAATTTTATGAAAACTCGAATATGTGGACTTTTGTAATTTTTTTACTTAAATGCAGAAGACTTTGAAGAATATAAATGATCGATTTTTTTTTTTTTTTTGTAAATCGAGTATCCCAAACTTTAGCTCTGAATTGTAAAATACAAAAACCCCAATAAAACTGCGACATTATTTAATTAAAAAAGCTTTTAATGGTTTTTATTTTATGAATAATATATATTAAATTAAGGACATTATTGTCTGAAGTAATTATATTTTTTCAATGAAAAATGAATTTTTACAAGAATTGTTTTCTTTTTTCCAATTTTAATTAAAAAAAAAAAGTGTTAAACTTAACATAATAAAAAATATTTCACAACTTTAACAGTTAAAGTTGTGAAATATTTTTTTTTTTTTTTAATTAATTTGGAATATATGTATCTCTGGAAATGCTCTTATTAAAAGATCTATTTTTACAGATCTTAAAATTGAAAGCTTATTACAATCTGCAAAGAGTTTCTATTTTTACAATATTTTTTTAATATGCTAAAAATTGTATTAAAAACGTTTTGGGCAAAACTACGGAGGCACAATCCAGAAATAATGTCACTTGTTTTAAGAGTTGTTTCTCCTGATAGCAAGTATCTGGCCTCATAAATTGTGTTGATTTTGTGTCAAATTCTCTGACTATCATCATCGCATTTTCAAAATTTTTAATTTTCTTTTTTTTTTTTTTAACATATTTCACTAAATATTTTCTTTTCATTTTTTAAATATAATCATATTTTTTCTTTTTCCATACTGCAATTATTAATTTTTTCTTTTGTAGATTCAATTTTAGGGATGGAAACAGTGCAGCTTTTGAACATATCTTCGTTAAAAATTACCTAAACAAATTAATAAAATATTAGACTTTTGAAAGTATTTAATTTTAAAGAATAGGTAAATAAGCTGGTTCAGTTAAATAAAATTTGAAAATACTGTCACTTCTGCACTTCCATTTAATAAATAGCCCTGACATTAGTTGTTGATACATTGACAATTCACACCTCCAAAACCAATCACAACGATTAGACATGTTTCTCTTATTTCCATCTAATTTTTTTCTGATAAAAAATTAAGTAATGTTTGTTTCAAATTACATTAAGTATACTTTAAATTTTCTAATTTTTCTAGAATAACATTTGAAAAATGTATAACTGAATTTTACAAGATTTTAAATGGAGAATTTCACTTTTGTTTACAAAGTTGTCAAAAATGGCTGACATGATTGGTTTTATGTAAATTTTGCCGACTCAAAAACAAAACAAAACAAAACAAAACAAAAAAAACAAGATTTTTGACTAAAATTTCGGACATGCTAGAAAGGATTAAAAAAGTATTTAAAAAATACTTAGGTCTTTCCTCTTAATAATAACATAAACATTTAAACAATAAAAAAAATTGTTTAATCAAGTTTGGGCCCTTTTTTCATTAGGGTATGCTCTTTTTTTTTTAGCAAAGTATTGAATATACATATGTAACAGTACTTAGCGAGTTCTAACAAGCTCGCTCCACAATATTTTATATTATAATTCAATTTATAATGATTACATTAAATTTCTATTAAAGAATGATTTATTCGTTTTAACACAGCATACAATATCAGCTGAATTATTTTGTGTGCAAAACAAGGATCAGAAGTCAACAAAAATCACTTGAACAATTAGCTAATGCTAGACAATCCATCAAAACATGAAGATCACTCAATTGAGTTTAGTAAAGCTTTTATAGTTACTAAAACTGAATTAATAAGTGCCTTCAAACTCAGCCAACAAACTGATAATCCTGTCAATAGTATTTTATCCAATAAAAATGGGAAAAACATATTTGCATTAACATTTTTTTAACCAATTAAATTAGATTACATACAGTAAAAATTAGCCATTGTTTGAGCCAGGAAAATTCTATAAATAGCTGAAATTAATTACATTTTTAAGTACTCAGCTGGTTGTCTTTTGAAATTGTACAACACATTTCTAGGATTTGATTTACTCAATTTTTGTATTTTTTTTTCAGTTTTATCTGCTTTTATTAAATTTTTACTGTTGACTGTAAATGTCTTGACTTTGAAGACTTAATTTCTGCTACAGTAGTAGTGTGGGACTCAAGGGCTAAAATGGACAGTTGATTTAACTATATCAAGAAGATTATTGAATTATGATCGAGACAAGGAAACACAGTTAATTTTAACAAAAGATAAAGAATTTATTTGCAAATTTAAACACTTGAAATACTGTCAGCAGCCTATTTCAGGAAAGTAAATCAGAATTCTTAAAGTCCGTAGTTTTAACGTATTGTCATGAAGAGGAAATGTTCATACAACAGATTAAATGATCCGACACAAAATAATATTCCGAAATGTTTAAAATGAAGGTAAGAGAGTTTGTTGCTCATCAAAGGGATATATGGTTTGCATAGGTTCAAAAGTAGATAAAGAGATATAGTATGAAATACTTAGCTTTTTTTGATTGTTGAGAGAAAATCCTTTGAAGTGCCGCATGTCGGTTAGATGTCGATAATATAATTGGCAAGTAATTTTACACTGGCAAGTACTTCAGCGCTGATCACAAAGAACTGAAACAAAACCTTTCAACATGACTTCTGACACTCTTCTCTTTAATTTTTCACCTTATTTTATATCAAAAAGAATTTTGCATAGGATCACTACTTTCTTTCCTTCTTAGCTCACAGGCCAATTTCTGTGAAGGCAGGGTTTTCATTGGTCCAAAAACTATTTCACATAGGCCCACAAATTTCTTTCTTCTTGGCTCACTGGTTAATTTCTGTGTAAGGCAAAAAATATCACATAAGCTTGTGAATTTCTTAACTTCTTTTTCATTCTAAAGGGTGTGGGTGAAAGGAGTTGTTGTTATTTTGTACTCACTACACTACCACCTCTTCTCATATATGTACACATGCACGCATAAGGAGAAATTGGCTGTTACACACAAACTATATTCCGGCTACATACATCCATTTTCATGTTGAATTGACTTTGCAGTTTCTCAATTAAAAGTGTTACAAAACAAAGAGTATAAGACTAAACATTAATAAACACAATCTATTGGGCTGGTGCATAATTATCAGGCGTTTTTAAACAATATTTATTGTGAAAAAAGAAATATAACAATTCAACAATAACATTTTTAAATGATTATAATGGAGTGTATGATTATCGTCAGACATTTTTATAACCTGAAAATAATATTTTTTATTAAAAAAGTAAACAAAACAGCAATTTTTATTAACAAATAACGCTTACAAAAACGCCTGATAATTATGCACCAACCCAATATGTAGTTTCCCTGAAACAAATTTTTTCTTCTGATTACACAACTTTTTTTTATATGAATTGATAGAAAAATTACTAACATAGAAATACTTTTTTGTGTGATTCGTTTTGTCCTTTAAGACTTCCTCAGACTAAAAAGTAATGTTTTCCTTCATATAATTATACAGAGTGTGGCAGAAATACCTCCCACATATGGCATCTGTTGGTCTTGTGACACCATGGATCTGTGTCTAAAGAGTTATACTCTCTCCAGGACACTGGTCTGGGCAGGTTTTTATGAGAGATCAACAGTTGCTCATAGAGCACATTTCGCCATGCCACTGATGTTGTTCAAGGGAAAAGCAGAGGCCAATACATCTTGAGATCAGCATTATCATAGGAGTTGCCAGAATGAAATGACATCAGACTGTCTTAGGGACACCTGATTTGAATTCAGAGTTGTCCTTCTCCTCTCCTCATCTGGTTGCCAATTATGGTTGCAGAATCCAAACTGCCCTACTATTTACCCATAGTTGGAGGTTTTGAATTCAGTGATTTTCCTTCTCCTAGAACGGTTGCCACCCAAAGGTATAGGACCCAGTCTGTCCTGTTATTTATCCATAGCTGGGGAGAGAAGAGTTGGATTCATACATAAGCATAGAACTTATGGTTGCATCTAACAATGTCAACTGTAAAATGATAAGACCTAGGTACCAAAGAAAAAAGCTCCTCAGAACAATTACCATGAAAATATTTATAGAAAAGGCGCTGGGAAGATTTATTATAGCAATGGGAAAGTGACTGTAGCTGAAATATCAGATCAGGACCAATAACATTTCAGATTCTTCATTGAGTTTTCTAAAGAATCACTACATACATAGAAGCATCAGACCAGATGTGGCAGCCATATTCAATACATGAATGAAGGATAGACTTATAAATTGGCCAATTCTACAATTCAGCATATAAATATCTATAGTTACTGCTTTTCTGGTGTGAAATTTGAAGTACAGTTTCTTTTTAATAGAATCTACAAAATGTAAAAGGAAAATAATTGTCTTTATATTTGTTTTCTTTTGTAAATTTTAGTTAAAATATCAGTAATGACATTTCGGAAATTGTAAATAACTCTAATATTCAACTGCTGACAAAAAAAATACAAAAAAATTAAATACAGGTTAATTAAAAGTTGAAGAGAATTTTCATGAATGATTGTAAGAAAAACTCAGTACTACTAGTATTCTATTATTAATAAAATTATATATGTTAGAATAATCTTTGATTTTTTTATAGCTTATCGACCTTTTGCAGTTTATTCAAAGCCAGGAAATATTTTTAGATTGTAAGAAAATTTTTTGGAGACAATAATGATTTAGCAATACAACCCATAGATGGGAGGAGAAGAGGTGATTTCATACCTTCCCCAATGATATTTGCATGTAAGGGAATATAACAAACCCAAGAGGAATTGGAACTTGGCTACCCAATTAAAAATTCTGAGCCATTATCCATTACATCACCCACACATTCAAATTTACAGCCCCTGGTATTCCCAAGTGGTCATCTATGTTGGTACTGACCAGGCTCGATATTGCTTAACTTTGGTGATCATACGTGAACCAGTGTTTCAATGTGATATGGCCATAAGCCTAAAATTAGCTATATATTATGAAAACAAGCACAAGTTAAAGGGGCTCATATTAGGTTAAATAGATTTCATTTTTGAATTTCTTAAAGCATTTTGAGTTTTTATATGATTAACTGAACATCAAAAATTCTTTAAAATTGTAATCAGTCTGTAACGAAATTACTGAAGTCTTTGTCTTCTCCGTCTTCTTTTACTTAGTCTTATGCCGCAGTTAACACAGAAACGAACAACACGTGTGATTTTCGCACAACTGGACAACTTCCCTTTACCCTCGCAAACTCTCAGCTTTTATGCCGGTGAGGCATACGCTTATGCAAATGAATACGGGCCTCGCTACCAGTCTGGTCGCGCATCTGGTCCGCTGCCATAACGTTTGCCTCGTCAAACGTTCACTCATTCATTTGTTACAAAAATTTAATGGAGATCAACTATTAAATTTGAAAGGATTAAAAGCAAAAAAATATGTTATAAATTTCCCAATAGTAATAAGAATTTATTTCAAGTTCTATTTTAAAAAGGGAAATTTTCTTTCATTTTATGTCTGATGTATGACATTTCATACTTCTAAATAAATAAACAGCAAATTCTGTCTTTCCATCTTTCTATCTGAAACCCCTCTAACTTGGGCCGCACTTGCTCTATGTGGACATATTGTACCTTTTTTTGAATAAGGATGATCCCAGAATTGAAAATTTGCCTTTCATCTGGCACTTGAACATCAAGCATTAAGATTTGTGTCTGGATGAGAAGGGAACAGTTAAAAACTCAAATTTTAAAATAATTTTAAAAAAATGAGTGATTTTAAAAGTTTTTAATTTATATGGAGTTTAAAGGAACACAAAAAATTTGTGAATTTAAAAAGTTTTGTTTTAAATTCAGTTTAAAATATCTCCAAAACTTTGTGAATTGAGAAAATCAATTTTATTTCTTCAAAATGCCAATGAATCAGGGTAAAAGAGAAAGGTTTTGAAGTTCTGCAGTGTTTGTGATTTGAAGAACTCAATTGAATCGAAGTTCCGCAGACTTTGTGATTTAAAGAACTCAATTCAATTGAAGTTCTGCAGACTTTGTGATTTGAAGAACTCAATTCAATTGAAGTTCCGCAGACTTTGATTTGAAGAACTCAATTCAATTGAAGTTCCGCAGACTTTATGATTTGAAGAACTCAATTCAATTGAAGTTCCCCAGACTTTATGATTTGAAGAACTCAATTCAATTGAAGTTCCCCAGACTTTGAGATTTGAAGAACTCATTTCAATCGAAGTTCCACAGCATTTGTGATTTGAAGAACTCAATTCAATTGAAGTTCCACAGTGTTTGTTAATTGAAGAACTCAATTTTCAGCTTGAATTGAAATTTCGGCACAAATCAGCTTTTCGGTTGGAATTGGACTTATCACCTGAATCACTGTTAAAGTGAGATTTTGAAGTTCCATGAAGTGAATTAAGGAATTCAAAGTTATTTCTTCAAAATTATCATTGCTGTTTTCTAAGCTGGATCAGAGGCCCATTTAGTTTTGGGCCAGAGGAGATAGCTTGAAAGTCCACAAGTTAGTTTCTAACAGTAACAATGACTGTCATAAACATACTTTACCCAATCAAAATATCAACAATAACTTATTTTGAAAAATATATTAGTTAAAATATGAGTATTACCATTTCTTAAATCATAAATAATTCTAATATTCAGCTGCTGACAAAAAAAAACTGTAGAAATCAAAAACAGGTTAATTAAATGTGGCTATCTGGAACTCTCCTTCTATTTGTAAGTTTTTATTGTCATTAAAACTGCCAAATGTTTTAAGACAGTCTCATTGGACAAATAAAATGTGAGAGAGCAAAAAGAACACAAATTGGACAAGTTCATTTTAAGAACTTTTATTTGAATAATTATTGTTTTAATCAATTAACTAAATTGTACATTTTTCAAATAATGTTGAGACAAGCTACAGCTTGATTAAAAATTCTCATTTTTTTCCATTTGAACACATAAACAGGTGGACATATCATAATTATGAAACTAGAAAATCCAATTTTATGTTGTATTCTCAGTTTTATTTAAAAAATAAAAATAAAAAGACTCCAGCTTTGGCAAGAAATGGAATTTTCTTTACTGAAAAGTCATATGGAAGAAAATAATCACAAGTTAAAAAAAAAAAAATCGATCACATTTAAAACAGAGAAATTGTAGAATATAATGATTTGCATATTTTAAGCATTTTCTCAACAAATTATAATTTTTACATTTTGTATAAAAATCTTCTATGACTTGAAAGCAACAAAATTCCATAAAATCTTGAAGGTGAGTTCAGGGATTTTTCATCAAAAACCTAATTTATAAACTAGTATTTTTTATTCATAGAGTCTGTTAAGGTCAGAATTAAGTGGAAAGGTTATGTCATTTAATTCTAAAGAATTATCTTCAGAATGTTTGAATTTTTGTGTTTTTTAAAGTTTGAAATACTAAAAACTGTAAAGTCACAGCTCAACAAAAAAATGGCTTCTCTTCATTGTGTGTTGCAAAGTGTCTTTTTAAAGCAGCACTGTTTGAAAATGAACAGCCACATATTTTGCAAGAATATGGCTGCTTTCCAGAGTGAACTGGCATATGTCTTTTTAAGTTAGAATTACGTGAGAATGCAACACCACAAATTTCACAAGAATATGGCTTTTCACCTGTATGTGTTCGTATGTGTAGCTTCAAAATAGAACTATGGGAAAATGCACATTTGCAAACTTCACAAGAATATGGTTTTTCTCCAGTATGTATTTTGAAGTGTCTTTTCAAAGCAGAAGTGCTTACAAATGCAGAGCCACATAGTTCACAAGAATATGGCTTTAATCCCGTGTGTGTTAGCATGTGTTTTTTCAAATTTGAACTGTTTGAACATAAAAATCCGCATACTTCACAAGAATAGGGTTTTTCTCCTGTGTGTATCCTCATGTGTGCTTTTAAATGGTATTTCTGTGAAAAAGCTGACCCACACTTTTCACAAGAAAATGATTTCTCTCCTGTGTGTGTAGGTAAGTGTCTTTTTAGTGAAGAACTTCTTGAAAATGCCGCTCCACAAATATCACAGGAATAAGGTTTTTCTCCAGTGTGTGTTTGCATGTGCCGTTTCAAAGTTGAACTGTCAGAAAATTTAGATCCACACACTTCACATGTGTGTAGTTTCTCTTTTGTGCATTTTTCCATCTATGTACCAAAGGGAGAGATTTCCTGAAAATATTGTTTTTGTTTGGTAACAAAATCCTTTTTTACAAAGTAAGATAGATAAAATTCAGAGTCATCTGTCTTCAATTTTTCTGGTGTTAATAGGATTTTAATTTTTTTTTTGCCAGACAGGGCAACCTGCAAAGTAAAGCAATCATCATTAATGAAAAGCAGAAGAATTAATTTAAGATAATTTAGCCTACATTTTTATTAACCCTTCAGTTTACCATATAATACGTAATAATACCCAAACGTATAATAGAGGCTATTCCTGGGTATGATGATAAAGTACATCTGCCAACAAGGCCTCTTATCAGGACATTAGAGATTTTGATGAGCGTGGAACCATCTTTTAATTGCTGTTGTTCCCCAGGTTCACCCATACCTGGGGTAGTAGCACTTATTATGGTCCCAATTATGGAAAAATAGTGAATCCCACAAACAAAAACAAAACATAGTGAAAGTATAAAAATACATTTTTATAGTAAAAATACCAGCAATATATTTTTATATAAAAAATTACCATCAATACCTATTTATACTAAATTTACCAACAATACACACATACTAACAAATTGTAGCAATTTTCCCCAAATCCATTTAAAATACTACCAAACAACCAACATATAAAAACTTTCATGACATTAATCCAGATATCCTAAAATTTCTTCAACGGTATTCCAAAATATAACTTCAACAAAATTACAACATAAAACACAATTATCACCGCCTCTAGTAATCATGTTCATACAAACATGTATATGTACAAAAGCTGAGTATCTACCATGTATTCAATTGTGAAAGCAAATAACATATGACCCATAAGGTGTTGATATGTTGTTAAACAGACAAATCAATACATTACAGGTAGCAGAATGTGGCCTGTCTCATGGTTATATGTGAGTCCGCAAGAACACAATAAACATTAGTTTTTAAATGTCCATTACAAATATTTTTTAAGCGAACAAAGACAGAAACCATATATATTTAATAGCAAATCCCCAATTCACAGGAAAGTCACTTATTATGAAATTGACATATCATGTAATGTATTACCACAGGCATCAGGATTATTATGTTCCAAACTGTGCCAATGTCAATTCCCAATCTTCAAGCACAGTTTAAACTGGCCTAGGGATCTAGGCGCCCGTTCTGTGCTTTTTACAAGATTTTATCCTAAGTTCAGTTGGGTTGATTTTCTGTTTTGTTGTCAAACACGCTGAAATGCTTTGAGGCCACCTTCTCATTCAGCTCACTGAAGCACCTAGCTCTTTTGATGTTCTGATATGACACCACTTACTTTGGTATCTCTCAGGGTGAAAACCATGCAACATTGCGTCCCTACCATATTCAAAATGAATAGATTAACAAATATGCATTAAGTTTTACATAAAAAGTTGACATTCAACCACAAAAAAACGTTTTAAATTCTTAAGAAACTTCAATGAGTAAAACCCAGATAAAATTTGGTACGAAATTCATACTTGGCTGGGTTGGATCCCAGTCACATTTTTGAAAGCTTCACTCATACAACATATTTTCTTTCCTTACATAACTATTACTATATAAATTCCTCACATAATTACTATAATGCTAGATAATTAAATACAATAACAATAAAAAGCTCATTAAGATACACTGGATGTGAAGAATTGAAATTTAGGGCTGAGTATCTCTGTATCTTTAACATCTCAATGTAAACTGTAACCTTTCCCCATTATATATAGATATATATATATATATATATATATATATATATATATATATATATATAACAACAGGATAT